CTCCTCCTCCTCCTTCTCCTCCTCCTCCTCCTCCTCCTCCTCCTCCTCCTCCTCGCGGGGGTGGCGCCCCCACTGGCTCTCTGGGGGCCGCCCAGAGGGGGACCGTCCACGGTCCAATGCGCCCCGGGCCAGCCTCGTCTTGAGGCAGGCCCTGGGACGCGACGCGGGCCGAAGGCTGCCCGCGCCCTCTGTGGGGGGGAGCAGGAGGAGGGGAGCAGCAGGGGCGGCCGGGAGGGGAAGGGGAAGGGGCCGGGGGGCGGGGGCCGTCGCGGTGGGCGGGCGGGCAGCAATGGTGGCCGCGGAAGCCGTGGTCGTGGTGGTCGAGCTGGTAGTGGTCGAGCTGCTGGTCGTCGTGGTGGTCGTGGTGGCCGTGGTGGTCGTGGTGGTCGTGGTTTTAGTGCTGACAGCCGGCCTGGTGGTGGCCGTGGTGCTCGTGGTCGTCGTGGTGGTCGTTGTTGGTCGTGGTGGTCGTGGTGGTCGTGGCCGTGGCGGTCCAGGCGGCCCAGCTGGTGGTGGTCGTGGTGGTCGTGGTGGTCGGGGTGGTCGTGGTGGTCGTGGTGGCCGTGGTGGTCGTAGTGCTGGTGGGTCATTTAGCACGCACTGAGAATCATCTCGGCGTTGCCCACAACCAACGTGCGCTGGATGCGGCGCCACGCGGTGGCGATGACCGCTGACCGCTCTGCTTCAGGCAACTCCTCCTCCTCCTCCTCCTCCTCCTCCTCCTCCTCCTCCCTCCCCAGACCTTCGCTCCGGCCCTCCTCCTCCCTCCCCAGACCTTCGCTCCTCCTCCTCCTCCAGCCTGCCTGTAGCGGGTTCGGAAGGGTCTCGCCCCTGGCCACAGTGGGGGGCCCTCGGGGGCCACGGCTGCCCGCCCGGAGGGCACCGTGGGGCGGGACGCCAGCGTCCGTGGCCACCCGCCCGGCCCACTATTCCAGTGAGCCCGTGACCACACCTGCGGCTTGCAGCATATTCAGGAGGGAAAGAAACGCACAGACACAAGTAATCCTCGATTCCCCCGGAAATATAGGAAAACATGGGAAGTGGGGGGGAGGGCAAAGGCCCAGAAAATATGGGAAGCTGTGGGGCATGTTTTTTATTTATGTGTATTTATTTGTGTGTCCTGGGGCCCCTTTAGCCTCCTCCTCCCTGAGCCTTCCCTCCCTCTTGAGAACACCACGGCGCGAGGCCTCGTACTCTCGGCTGCCGCCGTCGCCGTCGTGATCCTGGTTTTCGTTCGCGTCGCTGCGGTTCGTCGTCGTCGTTGTGTCGTTTTTTGCCGTCGTCGTTCGCCGCAGTCGTCGTCGTTCGCCTCCGCCTTCGCCGTCGTCGTCGTCGGCGGCGTCGTCGTCGTCCGTGGCTTCTTTTCTCCTTTCTGCCTGGACCGCGTGCCCCTCCGCGGGCTCGCGCCGGGCCAATCTAGACTGTCAGCCTCCCCCAGAAAAAGGACAGCAGGACGAGGAGGGGCCTCTCCTGCTCGCGCGCCCCCAGGCATTCGCCCCCACGGCGGATGACCCTCCCGAGCAGCCGGCGCTGCAGGCTCGCCCCCCTTGAGCATCGGCTCCACGACGCGCCGCTGAGTCGGAGCCATGGCAAGATTTCCAGACCCAGACCCCATTCGCGTCAGAAGACAAACCATATCCGAAGGTGTTTTCCTGTGTACTGCCTTCGGGGTCTTTCGCCAGGCCCAGGGGCTTTCAACACAACGGCTCGGGATGACAAGCTGGTCCTAGGGAATCGGTCGAGACCTTTGGCAGTCCATGTTGTTAAAAATCATGACGTTGGGTGTCTGGGCGTACCAGTGCAGTTGGAAGTGCCTTTTAGCTTGTCTGGACCTGGGCTTCTTCTGCTGATTCCAAAGTTCTTGCCCAACTCCTGCCCCCGCCACATTCGCGGAGCTGTTTGGGTAGGGTAGGCCCCAGCGTTTGCTCCGTACGCTGCTCGAGAGTTGGGCCAGGCGTCTTGGGCGAATCCCTTCCGAGTCGGCGCCTCCGCTGCACCTTGGAGGCGACGATGGGGGCGGGCGTCACACGCATTCGCCCCGGAGCCCAGCCGAAGGCATGGAGCATCGGCGCCCGAAGACACAGAAGACTTTTCAGAAGGCCGGAGGGCTTCTGAGAAGTCCCGCCGCCTTGTGAGAATCAGGAGGAAAAAACACAAAGACACAATTCATCGTCGATCCCTTGGAAAATATGGGCAAATATGGGAAGTGGGGGGAAGGCAACAAAAATCCAGGAAACATCCTCCTCCCTCGCACTTCCACCCTGGCCCGCGGGCGAAGAGCGTCGTCCCCAGGACCTCGGGCCTCGCCCCCCGCTCCTGCAGGGCGGGGGCAGGGCGCGGGGCAGACGGAGCGGATGTGGCCGGGGCCTGAGAGACGGGGGGGTCAGGGCAAACGGGGGTCCACCAGAGCGCCAGATCCTGCAGGGTCCTGCGAAGGCCCCCTCTGGCTGACCCGGGTTAGCGAGCCGCTCGTGACCGCGAGGCGGCCGCGCATATTGGCTGACCCGGGTTTGCGAAGACCTGCGTTGCAGTTTGCTTTTTTTCTTCCTGCATTGCAGTTGTTGGTTTCCTGCTGACCCGGGTCTGGATTGACCCGGGTCAGAAGGTCCCCGATGTGGGAGGAGAATGTTTGAGGGCAGCAGCAGCCTCTGGGAAGAAAACACACTGTGGGACAAAAAACAACAAAACACACACACACACACACACAAAAAAAAAAAAACACACACTGTGGGAAAAGACACACACTCTGTGTGTGTTTTAAAACACACTCTGTGTGTGCGCTTTGTGTGTGTGTGTGTTTTGTGTGTTTGTTCCCACAGTGTGTGTTTTTGTTCCCACAGATGTGTGTTATGTTGTTTGTTTGTTTTTTGTGTGTGTGTGTGTTTTCCCACGAACACCTCGCATCGGAGCTCCTGCACAATGTTGGATTTTGAATCTGCCCTTATGTTCCTCCTCCTTGTCCCGCGCTCCTTTGTTCCTGCAAAGAGAAGGCCGCGCTTATCCTCCTCTTCGTCCTCAGGTTTCCCAATTCGTGCTTGCCTTGGGGCGTTCTCGCTGGTCCCCCTCAGCAGTTGGGTGTCATTGGGTGGGCTCCCGAGCTCCCGCACGGTGGAGCTGCACCCGCGTGAGAGGTGGCCCCTGCACTGGACAGAATCAGGGGAGAGAACGACGAACGGCCGATGACTATGCGAGTGGAAATTCGCTCTATGCCGAAGTCGTCCATGCAAAGCACAGACTGCGCTGCACCACAACACGGGTGGCTCTCTGCTCGTTCCTCTTCACCCCTCTTCCTCGTCCCGCCTCCGACGCGGAGGTTGCAGTGTGAGTCCCCGCCGCAGGCTAGACCGCGGCGAGCAGAAAACCTTGCGTCCCGCGCAATGTAGCGGCCCGCAGGCAGCCGGTTCGGGCCAGCCATGTTGGCCTTTTTCTCGACCGCGCTTGGGTCGTTTCGGAAGTCCTCGGCTAGCGTCGCTCTCGTTTCATCAAGCGTCTTCGGCTTGTCACTGGCATGCCGCGATGCGTTCTGGCCCCCTCTCCCCCTCGCTCGTCATCTCTCCCTCCCTCTAGCCTCGCTCTTCCCTCGCTTTTCTGTATTGTAATGGCCTCCGGCCAGTGCCGCCGATCCGGGGGGCTCCAGATTCGGTGATCTTGGCGGCTCTGTGGCCTCCTCCCTCCTCGATTCTTCCGGTCCTCTTTCTTCTCCCTAATTCTCGTTATTCTCTGCCTCCTGCTGACCCCTTCGCGTCGCGTGCTCGTTCTCCTCTCTGTCCTCGCCTTCCCCGGCAGAGCCACCCCGGCGCCCCCCCCCCCAAGCAGAGCTGAAATTCTTGCTTAGGTTCAGAACTGAAGCTCGTCCTGAGGCTCCTCGTAGTTCACACGCTGGATCGGCGGATTTGGTCCTTTCGTGTTCCCCCCTTTCGCCGGCGCTTAGGTCAGCAAGCTTACAGCCGCATGCCATAAGCAATCAAGCATGTCCAGTTCCCGATGGCTTCGTCGAGAGCAATGGCCTCGGCTTCGAATGACGAGATGGGGTCCTGCATGAAAGTAAAGGCCACAGCAACATGGAAACGGTTCCTGCCGACCGCGTTTTCCTCCTTTGGAGGCGGCTGGGCGGTTTGAACTGGCAAGGACCCCACAAAATCTGCCAGGAGGGGGGAGGAAGCCAAATCCGTTCAACTCCGTCCCCGGACTCCCCCTCCAGGGGTCATCGGGTGCAGCGTCTCGCTCTGGATCCGTTTCTGAAGGTCCTGTTGCCTCAAAACGGGCCACGGGGGCTCAACAAACAAAATATTTCTCGACCCCAGAACCTCGAGCCTGCCCCCCCCCTGCTCGTCGAAACAAGTGCTGGTCCACCTCAGGCCCCCAGCCGACTCCCACGCCTCCTCCCTCATGCCGTCACGGTTTTTCCCTCCCTCATTCCTCCCTGCCTCCCTTCTTCCTCCCCCTGCGGCAGGCCGCGCTCAGGACGGCGCTGCCCAGGCTCGAGGGGGGGGGGGCAGAGGGACGCCGCCGCCGCTGGCGCTGCCGCTGCCTCCCCAGAGGAGGGCTGAGAGCCGGCGTTGCCAGCGGTTGCCTCAGGCTCAGGGTTTCCAACATTTGGAAATCACCCGAGACGTACCCAGGCGATTTGTATGAACGCGAGGGGGGTCTGTGTATGACGCCCACGAAGGTGGCGACAGTGGCGAATATGCAGCCACCCACGGAGCCTCGAGGTCTCGGCTCGGTCCGCGTGCATCACCACTCCGCTGCACCTCCCAGGAGCCCACGAAAAAGGGCATCAGTTGCGCAGTCCGCAGCCACTCAGGGAGCACCCGACGGCGTATAGTGCGATAGCAGGCAGGAGGCAGATGGAGGGGGAAGAGGAGGGGGAGGACGTAGACCACAGTGCTCTGTTCCAAAACGAGAGCCCAACACAGGAGGGTTGGCAAACATCAAGGCGGACGTTTTGTTGCCGTTTCCTGCATCCGGGATCCTCGCTGGACCTGGGCCTGTGAACAACAACGGCTCGGGATGAAAGCCAGGACTTCGGGAGCGGGCCGGGCTTTCCAGGGAGGCCCTCGTGGTCTCCAGAGCGCCCGTCACGAGGGGCTCCAGCGCGAGAAGCCGCGGGGGCTCCAGCCCAGAGGGTCTGCAGGGGCTCCAGCGCGAGAGGCGGGGGACGCCTTGGTCCAGATCAGCCGCTGTACCACCCGAGGGAGGCTCGAGGCTGGCCTCGTCTGCGCTGGCCGGGGCCTCCGGAGGCCCCGCGGGGGCCTCTGGCGGTGGCCCGGACGGCGGCTTCCGGGGATGGGCGGCGGTGATGCCCAGGCATCCGGCGCCGTATGTGTCGCCACGTGGCCCTGCGGAGTCTGGACCGCTTCTCCGCGCGACTTGCTGTTCACCCCGATCCGTTTTTGGACGGCTCCCCAGGGGCCCGGTAAGGTGCCCCCTCCAGGGTTCGAGCATGGGCGACAGCCCTCTGTCCCGCTCCCTTCGCAGCGAGGGGGGGGGGCTCGTTGGGGAGCGAAGGGGAGGGGGGAGGCAGGAGGCAGGAGGGAGGCGGCGCGATGTAGACGACGGGTGTTCGTGCGATGGTGGTGCCTCGACGGCCGGGCCTCCCTCCTCCTCCCCCTCCTCCTCCTCCTCCTCCTCCTCCTCCTCCTCCTCACGTTCCTCCTCCCTCGCGGCCGCCCCGCGATTTTCCACCCGTTCCTGCGCCCCGCGCCCGGCGCGCCCGACCAGGTACCGGCCCAGCGCGCCTTGCGTCCTCCGGCGCTGCCGAGTAGAAGTTCTTGCGGGCGGCGGGTTCCGAGGTCGAGGGTTTCGGGCCGGGCGAAAGGGGGGGATGGGGAAAGGGGGGGTTACGGAATTTGCTGCATGCAGCTGGTTTCGGCCTCACCGAGGGGCCCATTCCTCGATACATAGCCGCCTCCGGCGCCGGGAGGCGCCGGGAACATCAGCTACGTGAGCTGATTTTCAACCCCCCCCCTTTGCTATCCCCCCTTTTGCCCGACCCGAGGGTTGCAGTCGCGCCCGACACTCAATGGATTCTGGGTCCCCCCGCATGCGCCAGAACCCCGCAGGAACGTGTCAGGTACGGGGTGCTTGCAGCCACACGTCGGTCGGCATCGCAGCTGGAGTCGGTGTAGTGCCGAGGTGTGGGGGTTTTGACAGGCGAATGACGGTAACATGATTTTCGTGGTGCCATATATGATGTGGAACGTATGTGGTGCTGGCTATATGTTGCACTTGAAGTTGTGCAACTTGTAGTGTTCAATCTTCGGTGTACACTACGTTGTGTGCGATATATGTTTTGCCATATGCGTTGTGCAATATGCCGTGTGCAACCAACGCTGTGCAATCATGATGTGCAGTATATGTGGTGCAACATTTCTTTTTATACATGGCGCAACCCACGCAGTGCAATCTGTTTGTTTATATATATATATACATATATATATATATATATATATATATATATATATATATATATATAAGGGGGGAGCTTCCTTTTAGTTTCCGTTCAAGAAGTTTTGTCTTTGAGTGTTCCCGGGTCGCCTGGCCAGTGCTGGGGGGAAATTGCTGCGGCAAGAACGAAGGCCATTCGAGGGGCCCGCGCGTCGAGACAGTGGCAACATGTTCGCACGGTTGGACCCGGTTCGCATGAGACCTCGTCGCAAGCTTGCTTTCCGACGCACCAGATTTTACATGGTATGGCCCGCTACGCTTGAAACGTCCTCGCGACTCTGGACTCCCAGATGCTACGCGAGAGGTGGTCCGACCCTTGCCTCGTCCGTTTTGCTTGTGACATCGTCGCTACGCTAGGCTTGAAGATGCCGCCCGCGAGGTTGTCCGGTCAGTTTGGCCTGAGACGTCCCCGCAATTCTTGGCAAAAAGATGTTGCGTGCGAGGGGGGTCCGCCAGTTTCGCATGCGACGTCCCCGCAATTCTTGGCAAAGAGATGCCGCGTGTCGCATGAGACGTCCCCGCAATTCCGAGGAACCGTTGAGGAGTGCGAAGCGAATGAGGAGTGGGAGGGGAAGGAATAGTACGATTACTGAGGACGAGGGGGAGAAAGGATAACGTTCGTATTGTTGTCAGACAAGTACTATTGTTTTCAATGCTCTCGGGAACCTTCTCGTCGCCAGGACTGGACGCGGTTCGATCCGGCCTGGTGATGCAGGCTGGTGCTCTACCGACGAAGGGTGTGTCACAGGCCCGTGAGCGCCCAGATTGTGGGGATGTGTCGAACGGCCCGTTTGTTTTACGGGGTGGAGGTGTGTTTTGGAACCGTATGTTCCTCGCTGGCCATTTCGGTTGGCTTTGGGTGTTTTTTTTGTGGGCCCCATCCAGGACTTGCCTTGGCTGGCGGGGGGGGGGCAGTGCATCTGAGCCCGGGCGAATTCAAATTTAGGATGGAGGATGGGGCAGAAGAGTCATATCTAAATTGCAATACGAAAATGGGGGTGTAGATCCGAATTTATTTTTGTAAGAAACGAGATAGTTGTGGTGCAACCTACGTGGTGCGCAACATTTGGTGTGCAATCTCTGTGGTGTGCAATCTATGCGGGCGGCGACGAGGCGGCGACGGGGAAGCGGCCGCGACCACACAGCTGCCAGAGCGGCACACTGGCCCAAGCGACGGGCTGCGACGAGGCGGCGACGAGGCGGCGACGGCGACAACATAGCCGCCAGCGCGGCACACCAGCCCAATTCCGCAGACCCGAAGTGCGAACCCCGAAGTGCAAGCACAGCCTGGAAAATATATGTGATGCAACCTGCGTGGTGCAATTCATATTCTGCAAAATATGTTGTGGACCGTGCAAAGCAATGCAATGCAAAGGGAAGCAAGACAAGACAATGCAAATCAAGTCAATGCAAAGCAATGCACCGCAACGCAGGACAAACAAATGCAACGCACAGCAAGGCAACCAACTGCAACGCAATATAATGCAAAGCGATGCAAAGCGAAGAAGCGCAGAGCAAAGCAATGCAACTCGCAGCAACGCAATGCGAATCAACGTAAAGCAACGCAAATCAATACAAAGCAATGCGAAGCAACCCAGAGTAACGCACAGCAGTGCCAAGCAGTGCAAAGCAACGCAAAAGAACGCAACTCAATACAATGCTGCGCAACGTAAAGCAACTTACGTGGTGCAACCCAACAACGGCGACGAGCGGCGATGGCGGCGCCGTGGAGGCGAGGGCGACAACATAGGCCCAGACGACGGGCGGCGACGAGGCGGCGACGGGTTGGCGACGGCGGCTACATAGCCGCCAGACGGGCACGCAGGTCCAGACGACGGAGGCGACGAGGCGGCGACGGAGCGGCGACGGTGGACGTCGGCTACATAGTCACCGGGCCTGCACGCAGGCCCAGTTCCTCAGAGAACAAGTCGTATTCCCTAAGTGTCGTCGTCTTTCAAACGTTGCTGCTTGCCACAGAACCTCCAAGAGTGACTCGCTGATGGGGTCGTATGGCCGGCTTTTCCGACGCTCTGCTCCACCTCCTCCTCCTCCTCCTCCACTTCTTCCCGCCTCCCCCCTTTGGCGAGGGCCCTCCGCGCTTGCGATCGTCTGGCTTCGGCTGCAGCTTGACGACGTGGACGCTTCTCGGGGTGTGCCTCCTCCTCCCTCCTCTCCCCAGTCGTCGTTGAACATGAACTGGTGATGTCAGGGCGCTCTCGCCTCGACGCCGGCTGCACTGTCTTTGAAGCCGATGCTCCCGCTCGAGCGCGGGCCTGCATCCCAAAGTGCGTTTTGTTGGAGGCCAGATTGCAACGACTAATCCCTGCTCCCGATCGATGCGGCCTTGAAATTCTGTCTGAGACGTTTGGGCCAGAGGGGGCCCAAAACTCAGGAACGGCTCTCTCGCTTTAAGCCTCCTCGCAATGGAGCCAAGTTGGTGGAGGTTTAACTGTGACGAGAATGGCTTGAGCTTTATTTCTGTCACAATTTATTTTGATACGTTCTGGTTAGAGAGGTTTCGAAACTCAGACAACGCGCTCCCGGTTTAGATTTCAACGCAAGTCTGTCAAGTTGTTGGAGACCCAACTGCGACGATAACGGCTCCCGCCGTGGTTCCGCCCGACATGTCCTCACAATGTATTCCGACACGCCCTGGCCAGAGAGGGACCCGAAGCCAGGAACGGCGCTCTCGCTTTAGACTTCAACGCAAGTCAGTCAAGTTGGTGGAAGCCCAACTGCGAGGACAAACGGCTCCCGCTCGACACTTCCCGCAATTCACCTCGATACGACTCTGCCAGATGGGGGGGGCAAAACTCAGGAGCGGAGCTCTTGCGCGAGGCATCGTCGCAAATCAGGGAACCTCTTGGAGGCCCAACTACAACGACAACGGCTCCCGCTCGACATGTCTTCACTTCTTCCGACACGCCCTGGCCGGAGCGTGCCCAGAAGCCAGGAACGGCGGGCGCCCTCGCTTCAGGATGCTTCGTTATTCAGTTAAGTGTTCGGGAAGCACGGCTCTGACGACAACGCCCCCCCCCCCCCCCTTGACACGCCCTCGAAGTTCATTCCGAGACGCCCTGGCCAGAGGGGCCCCCCAAAAACTCAGGAACGGCGCTTTCGCCTTAGGCGTCGTCCTCGCAATGAGCCAAGTTGTTGGAGGTCCATCTGCGACGACAGTGGCTTCCGCTCGATTCTCCCCCAGGTCGGATGCACTATCATTCAGAAATGGCGTTTCCGCCCGATATTTTTTCGCAGCTCATTCAACTCTGTGATATCCCAACAGAGACAACAATGCTCCGTCTTGATACTCCCTCAGAGTTTACTCAGAGACACCCTGGAAGCTCCAAAACTCGGCGCTCTCTACTGGGACTTTGTCACACATCACTTAAGTTGGTGAGTTACCTGCGGACGCTTTAGCTCGCATGACGGCCATGTCGGCGCGGTGCGCAAACAGATTGCATTGCTGAGTGTTCGCCCCAGGAGCAAGTTTGACAAGGACCCTCCTAGAAGGGGGTTGGTTCATAGACGCAGTGGGCAGGCACAAGAGAGAGGGAGAGGCAAACCAAGGCCGCAACAGTTTTTCAGGTCACATGTTAGCAAGATGGTCGACGACGTTCTCGTCGTCGCCCGCGGACCCGAGCAGGCCGGAGCGATGGGCGCAGGCCGCGCGCAGGGTGCTCAATCAGCCGGCACAGGCGGCCTCCGCCGCAGCTCTGTCGGCGGCGCTTGGAGGAGGAGGGGTGAGGGAGGGAGAGGTGGTAAGTAAGTGGGAGGGACGAAGATGGAGATAGGAGGAGGAAGAGGAGGATGAGTAGGATGAGGGAGCCGCGACCGCCCGAGAGGTTGAGGCGCGTTGAAGGCTAAGTGCGCCGTGAACACGGCCACGATCGTCTACAGTACATCCTTCTTAATAATAGTTCCACTTCTCACATCTCTTACATCCGTGTTCTTTCTCTCGTACGCGACATCCACTTCGGCACGCTGCATGTATTTTGCATACGCAGCAGCAGCATTTACCTGCACGGCAAGCACGGGCACTACGTCAGCAGCCAAGCCAGCCTGGCGTCGACGAGCACGAGTGCGACGAGCATCAGCACGTACGTCACTACGGGTAGCATCAGCACGCGACCTACTGGACCAGCGCATACAGCACCACCTCGATTCGGTTCGCCAGCTTCTCCAGGCGCATGGCAACGCACAACAACAACCACCACGACATCCACCTCGAGCTTCCACAATGGCAGCCTCATGGGAATCAAACGCGAGTGGATCAGGAACAACACTTCCGCCGTGGAGATCGACGCCGAGCCGCCCTCGAAGCAGAAGGCCGACGTCGCGACCTGCCACGCCGGCAATTCGGGTAGGCCTCGAGCGGTGGAGGAACCACATCAACTTGACTTTAACGGGCGAGAGCGGTATAAAATAAACTTTTTCGCTGTCGGGGGCGCCTGTCCTAGCGCGGCTGGAAAGTTTATACCTTTACGGTGGCACCGTAGGGGTATAAACTCTCCAGCCGCCCAGGGACAGGCGCCCCCGACAGCAAAAAGTTTATTTTATACTGTTCTTCGCTCGCTGATGACTGACCGGTCGGCCCAGGACCACCCCGACCCCCGGTGGAACCAGGCTTACAGTGACAAGGGCAGCGACGTCAGCGGAAGGGGGAAGCACCACCAGGGGCAAAGGAGCCAGACGGCAATCCCTCGAGCTGAGCTCCACGGGTCGCCTGGCATTCTTCTGGTCAATCCCCCAGGGCCGACCAGCCCAGGGGGGTGGGGGGGGGGAGGGCGGCGATCGGGGAGCTCGCCCGCCATCAGGAAGCAGGTAGCAGGAGGAGGGAGGAAGGGGGAATGCAGGGAGGAGGAGGAGGAGGAGGAGGAGGAGGAGGAGGAGGAGGAGGAGTTTAAACCCGCGTGCTCTCGCCCGTGAGTGGGTGCCCCTGGTCTCGGCACCCCGCGCAGGCGACGCGCCCGAGGCGGGGTGGGCCAGCGGCCTCATCACACGGCTATTTGCTGCCGCCTCACTGCTGACTCCTTGAGTCTCCCTTCGAGCGGCGGCAGACTGACAAAAATGCTGCCGCCTCGCGCTCAGAGCCCGAGGAGCAGCCTGATGGACGGCTGCTGCCGCTCCTCGGCTCTGCGCTGGTCCTGGGACCGCGCTGGGCTGTGGCCTAACCCCTCGCCACGCTGGGGTTCTCTGCGGCCTACCCCCTCGCCGCGCAGGGGTCCTGAGTGGCCTAACCCCTTGCCACGCTGGGGCACGCTGCGGTCTGGCCCCTCACCGCGCTGGGGCCCTCCGGGGCCTGACCCCTCGCCACGCGGGGGCCTGCTGCGGTCTAACCCCTCACCGCGCTGGGGTCTGCCGTGGCCTAACCCCTCGCCAGGCTGGGGGTCGGTGCGGTCTAACCCCTCACCGCGCTGGGGGCCCTTGTGGCCTAACCCCTCGCCACGCTGGGGTCCTCTGCGGCCTGGCTCCTCCTCGCTGGCTGCCAGGCAGAGCTCGGAGTACATGTAGCAAGGCGGCGATCCCTTGGTGCACTGCAGGAGCCACACCATCTCGCCGCCGACGACGTAGCTATCGTCGAACTCATACTCTTCGCCTTCTGGGCCCAAGCCAAGCGCGCTGCCGTCCTCGTCGACGGAGATCTCGGCCAAGCACACGAATCCGACGTGGAAGTGGCAGTCAGGGGCCGACCTCCCAGGAGCGGAAGACACGCGCCAGGCTCGATTCTCAATCGCGGCGAGGGCGACTAGGCCGCGGGCCAGCACGAGGATGAGAACTGCCACACATGTGAGTCTGGACGTCCCTGCGTCCGCTACTTGCTGCTGCTCCTGCATCAGCTCGGGGTTCTGCTGCTTGTTCGCACGCCTCTGCGTGCGCCGGCTGGGGGTTGTTTGTGCGGCCCCCCACCGCGCCTGGTACTCCTGCACGTCGCTGGTGCTCTGCTTCGTCGCGTAGGTGCACAGGTGACTGCCCTAGGAGGAGGAGGAGAAGGAGGAGGAGGAGGAAGAGAAGGAGGAGGAGGAGGAGGGAAGAGGAGGAGGAGGAGGAGGAAGAGGAGGAAGAGGAGGAAGGGGGCGTGAGGACGGGGGGAGGGGGCGAGGATGGGGGTGGGGAGCAGGACGATCGGGAGGGATGGAGGAGGACGGGGAGGAGGGTAACGGGGGCCCTCAGATGGGCGCTTTCGCTAAAGAGGGGGAGAATAAGGAGGAGTTACGGAGTTACGGATATTGCGACTGTGTCGGTTACGATTAAGCCTCGCCCGCTCAGAGGACCTCGGAGAGATTGCGAAGCAATATATACATGGAGCACTCCACCCCCTGACCACGACGAGGGACGCGACGATCAGGAAGCCCCGCACCAGGACAGAGTAGCCGTTCACCATATTGCGTGTGACGCTCATGTCCCTCCAGCTGCCGATGCCCAGGGGCGGGATGAGATACTTGAAAACAAACTGACCACCAGAACGCATCTTGACACCAAGCAAACAGCGAACATACATTCCCACAAAAGACACTAATATCGCCTGGCTTGCCCTGCGGGCCTGGGCCAGGCTCAGCCAGAATGCAGCCAAGGCCCCTTCGATGCCAGAGAGTATAAATGCGCCCAAATTCGCGAAACACCGCTTAGCAGATTGCCCTCAAGATGAAACCCACTCTGCCGCTTCTGACACATCGATTGAGGCACACGTAACAGGAAAAGCGAACCATACAAAGTGGGGCGCCTTGCTTGCCCAGTGGGCCTGGGCCAGGCTCAGCCAGAATACAGCGCTGCCAAGACCACGAATACGATGTTGAAGAGACAGACATTCTTGAGGTGGCCCAGCAAAATGCCTGAGCGAAAATTCCAACCGCATACGCAGAGAAAGTGAACAGCTACTGTTGCTTGCAATTGTCAGGGCTGCTGCCTGAAGGAGACGAAGACGACGCTGCATGTGGCTGCCCAGGCTGCGCCGTCATCCGATTCAACGCGGCAGCCGCCTCACACGAGATCGGGATGGCTCCTCTGCTCGGCCGAACTGGAGCGGCTGCAGCAACAGCTCCTCGCCCCTGAGCCAGAAGGAGACCATCGGCTACCAATGCTGCTCTCCGCCTCTGCTACGCGGCGCCTGCCGCCACGTCGGCAGGGCTCTGCTGTGGAGGATCGTGCGAACCCGCGCCGCTCACCCTCTCGCGAAAGTCGACAGGAGGCGGTCCAGCCTGCATGTCGGCAGGCGCTGAAACTTGCTGCTGCGGTAGAGAGTCGCCAACTGGGGCTTCGCCCTTCATCGCACCACCTGTCGGCACCGCCTCGCTGTCCCCCCCCAGAGCAGCCAATCCCCTCGGGGCCTCTGGTGGGAGAGATAGGGGCGGGGCGGCTGCCGCTGTTGCAGGCGATGCGCCAGCCAGGTCGCCCTCGGGCGCCGGACCAGTGGGAGGCTCAGGATGGACTCGATCGGCAGGGTCAGCATGATCAGCAACCAGTGCCTGGCGGAGCGCACTGGCAAGGCGAGTCAAGCCTTGGCCCCTGTGCTGCTCCACCTCCGTGAACGCGTGCAGGAGCCTCATGACCGCCCGTCCGTTCGCGCGAGCATACTGAGCTCGGCGCTCAGCTGCAGTGCGATTAGGACGACGGCGCCTGGGCTCCCGCTCCATGCCGGATGCGCGAAAGGCGAGGACGTGGTCGGAGCGGGGAGCTCCTGTGGTGCTGGCTTGGGGTTCGAGCAACACTGGCTCGAGCCAAGCTTGTCACTGGGAGAATAAGGAGGAGGATGAGGAGAAGGAGAGGGGGAGGAGGAGAATGAGGATGAGGAGGAGGAGGAGGAGGAGGAGGAGGAGGGGAAGGCAGAGAGGAGGAGGAGGAGGCGGACGAGGAGGAGATGGAGGAGGATGAGGAGTCAGGGGGAGGAGAAGGAGGAGGAGGAGATGGAGGAGGAGGATGAGGAGGAGAAGGAAGAGGAAGATGAGGATGAAAGGGAGGAGGTGGAGGAGGAGGACGATGAGAAGGAGACGGGGAGGCGGCAGAAGAGGCGGATGAGGAGTAATAGGGACATCAGGAGGAGGAGGAGCAGGAGGAGGAGGAGGAGGGGGAGGAGGAGGACCAGGGTAAACCCAAGAGTCATCAACGATGTTGGAATAAACCCTCCCTCCAATCTCCCTCTTCATAGGAAGGGAACTTCCTCGTTGGAAGGCAACCGCTTTAAGACCCTGAATCATGCCAAAACATGGTTCTCGGGATTCCAACGCCACGGATGAAGCGGCATGTTGCGTTTTGACGGTCCTGAATCATGCCAGAACGCCAGTCCTGGGACTTCAACACCGCGAGCCCATATAACTGCTGCACCCTCATAATCCTGAATCCTTTCAAAGCGAAATTTCTGGTGCGCTGAGCATGGGAAACCGCGAAACGCTTGCACATTGAAAAGCGAGTGTTCGCGTGGCTAAAGGCGAGAACACATGTTGAACATGAACCGCCCATAACCCGTGAAACTCTTGCATGTTTAAACGAATAAGGCGAGAGCCACATTGCGAAAACGCTCCGCCCTCAATCCGTGAAGCTCCTGCAACTGCTTAGAACGAGTGTGTGGGCGGCGCTTCGGCGAGAGCCACACTTTGAAAACGACCTGCCGTCCATCTGTGAAGCACTTGTTCATGTTAAGCTTCCGTGTCATCAATGGTGCGGAAGTCTCAGGCGAAACGCCTGGTCCGCCCTAAAAAATGGCCTCGGGTTGCGGCAGGGAGAGGTTCTTTCCAAGGAAAACGACTGGAGGAGGAGGAGGAGGAGGAGGAGGAGGAGGAGGAGGAAGAAGAGGAAGAGGGACATTCTACATATTCGACCATGGGCTTTTGATTGCCCATTTCGGCGGTCGTCCTGCGGATTCTCGCGCTTTTTTCAGCGATTTGCACTGGGATGAGTGAGCAAGCTCAGCCTCATCGTCATCCGCCCTCCGTTTCCTCCTCCTCCTCCTCCTCCTCGTCTTTCTCCCTGCCATGCGCGTTTGGGGCGGGGATGGGGGAACGCCGGGACGTATGCTTAGGTCTCGCCTCCATTTCGGGGGGTGGTGCTTCCCATTTTTGGGTTCCCCCCTGAGGCACGGCGGTGCCGGCGCTACTGGGGGCAAGCCAGGGATGGGGGGCCAGATGTCGGTCACAGCTCGTGACTTTGACCCATTCGTATACGTGTGCCAGTTGTGATGGCAGATGTGCTAAGGCGTGTGTGCCCACGACATGCTGGGCGTTGTGTTCTCTTTTCGAGCCGATCGACATCCTCGTCTTCTTCCCTCTTCCCCTCCTCATCATCCTCATTACCATCATGGCGATTTACGCAATAGCTCGTTATCCCCCCCCCCAGGCTCACGGAGGCGCTTGTTGATCTTACATCGAGCCGAACGGGCGAAAGCAAGTGAGACCCGCATCGTCCTCCGCCAGAGGGCCCGCCAGCGTCACGGGTGCTCCCCGCCTGGCCTTCTGCTCTGGCGCCGTCCGTGGCCGTGGTGGCCTGGCGTGCCGTTCGCCCCTTCGTTCGCAGGCCAGCTCAGCGAGTCGCGCCGCCAGCTAAGGGCCGACACGCTTTCCATCTCCCGGTCCCCAGGCGTCGACGTCCAGAGCCTTCCCCAGAGAGTCGCCCCGCGAATCTCAGTGACGCGCGTTATCCGCTCGCAGGGCATAGCGTGTCGCATCGGTCGCTGCAGCGACGCGCTGGGAAAAAAAGTTCCCGGCCGTGGCTGCGCAGGAAGCGGCGAGCTGCTGCCAGAGCGTGCCTGGCGTGCCGCGGTCGGCCTAGCCATGATGCCCCCAAGAGGGCTGGAGGCCCTGCCTCGAACGTCGGGCACGAAAGCGCTCCGGGAACGGGATGCGACGTCCAAGGCGACTGCAGAGGGTACGGTTGCGCTGGGGTGCGGCCTGCGATCGGCCACGTGGGGACCTGGGGTGCACGAAATTGTCCTCGTCGGGCCTCCTCGGGGTGCGACGGAGAGCTCCATCGAGGGTCCCGACCGCCCCCCAGGGTGCCCGCCAGAGTGCCGGTTGCAAGCCACACCCTCTGCAAGCCACACCTTCCGGAACTACCCTCGGGCACAGTCTGCCGCAGCTCTGGCCCCGCGAGCTGGGCGCGCTGCGGGCCAGCGCTGCGGGCGCGCCGTGGCAGCCCGTCGGCCCCTGTGCTGCGGCCATCTCCCATGCTTCGCCCTGCCATCCTTGTCCTCCCTCCCTGTTCGGCCACGCGCAGAGAGGGGCGGAGGGGTAGGGGTAGGGGGGAAGGCTGCTTAGAAGGAGGCTACTTCTTCGAAGGCGCGGGCCTCATGTATAATTGCGAGGCTGGCGCCTTATCAGAAGCAGCCTCCTTCTAAAAAGCCTTCTCCATTGCTTCTACCCTCGCGGCCAAGCTTTTCCTCCCTCCCCCTCGTCCTCCTGCTCCTCCTCGTCCTGGTCCATCCTCCTCGTCCTGCGCCCCCCTCGTCTCTCCCTCTCGTCCTCGTCCTTCGCCCTCCGCCTCGGGTGGCCCACAGGTGGCCGAGGCGCGCAGGGAGGGCGCGGTGATGCTGTTTTTCGTCTCCACCTCGCTTGCTCTGCCATCGCCTGGGTCCTGGGCCAGGGGCCGCGGCTTGCTCCTCCTCCAGGGCGCGCGTCGATCTTCGACCAATTGCGAACCCTGCCCCTGCGGGTCCAAGCGACGTTGCGGTGTCGGACGCCCCCGTTGGGGTCCATCTGGTTGCAGACCGTCTTTGAGTTCTAAACCCCCACCGGCATTTCAGAAATCTGACCTGCAGGGGCAGGGTTCACAGTATGGTTGCCTATTGCACCCGTCCTGCCGCATCTGGTGACGGCAAAGCTCCTTCTCCTTCTCCTCATCATCAGCAGCATCAGTTGAAACATCACCACCACCACCACCATCACGTGCCAACATCATCACCATCACCATCACCACCATCATGACCATCCTCACCACCATCACCATCATCACATCATCGTCACCATCAGCATCAGCACCATCAGCATCATCATGAGCAGCATCAGCATCTTCGTCGTCAACATCATCATTAGCGTTATTATCATCATCAGCGGAATCCTCTTCATCATCATCATCATCATCGTCGTCGTCATCATCATTATTATCATCATTGCCATTGTCATCGTAGCTGCCATCGCCATCCTCATCTTCAACGTCATCGTCATCATCACCATCACCACCATCACCGTCGTCCTCGCCTTCATAATGATCATCATCGGCATTATCATCAGCAGCAGCATCATTACCATCACCTTCATCATCACCATCATCATCAGCAGCAGCATCATCATCAGCATCAGCACCAGCATCGTCATCGTCTTCGCCATTGCCATCGCAAACAACACCATCGTCAACCTCCTCCACCCCCTCGCCTCCCCTCCCCCCTCCCCTGCCCCCTCCCTCCCTCCCCCGCCCCCCTCCGCCACCCGGCGCGGCCAGGGCAGCGCAGAGTGGATCTTCTGCGCGCCCCAGTGGCAGGAGCGCCGCAAGCCCCCCCCGCGGCCGCCGCCCCCCCCCCCCCGGGCTGCGCGGCCGCCTCCGCTGTGGCCACGGTGGGGGCCTGGGATCGGCGGCCGGGCTTCTTGGTGACGCTCGGGCGTGTGTCCTCTTCTCGGCGGGGACTCTCATGGAGCATCCTGGAGTTAAGTCGGGCCTGTCCCCCTACACGGGGATTTTCGACGAAAAATGAAAAAGACCCCAAAAATAGCCGGAAAATGCTCCAAAATTAGTCTAGGGACTATTTTTGGAGTATTTTTTTGCCTTTTTGGGGCATTTTGGGGGTAGCTTTTATTTTTCGTCAAATCCCCCTGTAGGGGGACAGGCCCGACTTAATCCTGGAGCATCCTGCGAAAAAGCCCCGCACGACTCCGAAGAGAGCCCAGGGAATGGACGTCCGAGCGACGGGGAGGGCCTGGGGGGGGGGGGGGAAGTCGGCAGCGCCGCCGCTGTGGCACGACTCACACAGGGGGAGCGGAGAATGACAGCAACAGAAAAAGATCTCGGAGGTCCGCGCCGATTTCTCGGATCCGCGCTGGACCCCATTGGCGGCGCCTCCGGCGCCGCCTCTGGCGCGCTCCGCGCGCCAGGGAGGGGGGTCCAGCGCCGATCCGAGAAATCCGCGCGGACCTCCGAGTTTTGATGTTCTGTCATGCTTCGTTCCCCCATCACGGTCGGCCAGGCGCCGGACAGACGGCGCCTCGCACACATGGTCGTGGCAGATGCGCAACGCTGCGACTCTGATTTCGCGGACGTCAGCGTCGCTCAAGTGCACGATCACACTGCCGCGGCTAGCCTGGGGTGGACGGCGAGAGGGGGCGGGCCTTCTCAGCAGGCTCGGCTGCCCTCCGGCCTTCTGAGAAGTGCTCCAAGCCTCTCCTGGAGGCACAGGAGACTGCTCAGAAGGCCGAAATGGGCCTCCGAGAGGCCCCGCCGCTTTCAGGGAAGGCCCGCCCCCTCTCACTTCCCCCCCAGGCTCGCCGATTTGAGGAGCGAGATCGATCTTCGGGGGCTTCGGTGGGCGGCGGATGTGGATATGTCCCAGAGCGTCAGTTCCCCAAGCGGTGGATGTGGATAAATCCCGCCTCGCAGTCTCCGCCACTCGTTTTCGGCCGAAGGAGAAGGAGCAGGAGGAGGACCTCAGGGACTCGCGGGATGAAGGAGGATGAGGAGGAGAGGGAGCTGGGGCGGCTGTCCAGGTCGTCGCGGAGCGTTTTGCGCCAGCGTACAGACCGCCGTTGCACTCGTAGGACGAGGACCAGTGCAATCCAAGACGCGCTGTTGTGCCCTGGCAATCCTAACCGTGCCAGAGCATCACTCCTAGGACTTCAGCGCCCGAAATCAATGTGTCGGTTGCGTGCGTACGGACAGTCTTAAGTCGCGTCAGAACACCATTTTTGGGATTTCACCAGTACGAAGCTCTGAAACAGTGCGAAACTTTCACGACGAATGTGCCTTGCGCTAAGACCCACATTTTGAAAACGATCTGCCCTCCATCCTTGAAGCTGTTGCAATATGTTCAGACGAATGTGCGAGAGCCACGAAACAAGTGGCACGTGTGTGCCCAGGCTCATACAAAAAACTGAAAGGGCGTTTGAAGCAGGAAGACACAATGACTGCAGGATCGGAGATGGAGAAGGGGAAGCTGGGGCGGCGCCGCCAGGGCGTGCCTAAGAGAAGGGGAAGAGGCAGGAGGTGAACGCAGAAGAATCTAAGATCGAGGTCGCACTCGAGCGAAAGTGGGGTTGCCACACCTTGCGATGTGTGTACCAGGGCCCCCCAGGAAACCTTAGGAGGCCCGTCTTGGATACCGGAAGAGGCTCCAGGAGGCTCCGGGATTGTGAGTGGTGTGCTTGTGTGTGTGTGTGATGTGTGGTCTGTGTCGTGCGTGTTTTCTGTGCATTGTAGGTGTTGTGTGTGTTATGTTTGTCTAGCGTGTGATGTGTTGAGTGTGATTTGTGTTTCTAGGTGTGCATGTAGTTCTGAGGCCCCAGGAGGCCCCAGGCGGCCTCAGGAGGCCCCAGAAGCCAGGAGGCTCCAGGAGGCCCCAAGAGGCTCCAGGAGGCCGCAGGAGGCCCCAGGAGGTTCCAGGAACCCCCCAGGAGGCTCCGAGGCGGGGTCTGGGGTACCAGAAGGTACAGAAAGCCCCAGGAGGCCCCAGGAGGTTCAAGAGGCTCCCAAGAGGCTCCGAGGCGGGGTCTGGGGTACCTGAAGGTACGTCGGGGCTCGATTTGGGGAGGATGTCTCAGGCGAAATCGCCATTCTCTGAGAATCGGTGTCAAATTCATTGAAATTACAATGTGTTTTTGAAGGTTTTATGCCAGAATGATGAAATTCCAATGTGTTTGTTGGACCCTGACGTCACGATCTGCGTGAGGGGTGCCACCGATTTTCAGAATGTCGAGGATGTCCCTAGCGAACTGGCCAGAAAAATCGCAGACGCCGCCTTCAATTAATCGGCTCTGAGCTCTACTCCCTCGGAGAGGTGCGTATGAGAACATTCCCTACCTAGGCTCTGCCTAGAAGGGTTCTTACTCGCTTAGCTTAAGGGGCCGGGCAGTGTAACCCGCCCCGGGCGGTTCCCCCGGTCCCCTGGGAGCCAAGCAAAAGCAACAGCAAAGGTACAAGCAAACGCGCGGTTCCCCCTTTTGCGCTCCCTCGGTGACAAGCAAAGCAAAAGCAAAGGAAAAAGTGAAGGCAAAAGCGAAGGCAAAGCAAAAGCATAGCATAGCATAGCACAGCATAGCATGGCGCAGCATAACATAGCGCAGCATAGCCTAGCCTAGCCTAGCCCAGCATAGCATTGCGCAGCATAGCATAGCAGAGCAGAGCAGAGCATAGCATAGCATAGCGCTTCACAGCATCCACTATCGCTGCTGCTATATATATATATATGTATAGATATGTACTTATATGTGTGTGTGTGTGTGCGCACGTATGTTCCATGCATGTTCTCCGTCAGCTGGCCATCTTGAGCCCTTAGTGGGGCAGTTTGAGCCCTCAGGATTCACGAAGGTTTCGCACATAGCACCGGCCAGGAGACATGAAACACGACGTATTATCGCATGTCCTAAATGTCTTTCTATATATGCAAATATAATCGGATATATACATAACACCCATGTGGAATGCTGCATGTGTGTGTGTGCGTGTGTTTGTGCATGTATGTGTTCAGCACCGCGTCGTAATGCCTTTCATCCTCGTTGAACGGCGTTTACCGCTCCTACTAATGTTGTTTTCATAGAGGCTCCAACTCCTAGGTAGGGTCGCACTGGGATAATATGCTTTTTAACCAACCCGCTCTCTACCTTAGAAGCTCACTCAAGCTTCCACGACAAGTGTGCGCGGCGCTTGGGCGAGGGCCACAACTTGCTGCAATATTTTCATGAAGGATGTGCGCGGCGGTGAGGCGAGAGCCACATTTTGAATGCCGCCCGCCGCCCATCCGTGAAGATGTTGCCAATTTCCAGCCGCATGGCCGTCAATGATGAAACAGTCTCGGGCGGGACGCCCAGCCGGCCCCCCCCGACACGCCCGGGGGCGCGACCGTATAAGGAAAAGGGACGGAGGGCCTGATTCCAGGCGTACACCCCCGCGGGCGGGCCTGTGCTCGGCGGGGCCCGCGTGATGAAAATGACAGGCCCCTGGCACCAGGCTTCGCGACGGCCGGCGCCCAGGGGGCACGGGGTGGACGGGGAGGGGCAGAGGGAGGGGGCGAAGGAGGGAGGAGGCCGCATGACAAAAGAATGCATGCAGATGATTTCGCGCGGAGGTCCGCTTTGATTTGTTGAGTCGGCGCTGGGTCCTGGCAGCGTTTCCGCCGCCGCCCCTGGCGCGCTCCGTGCGCCAGGGAGGGTGCCCAGCGCCGGTCCAAGAAACCCGCAGGGACCTCAGACAAAACATAGTCATGCATGTTGGTGCATGTTCCTCGGGGGAGAGAGTCCCTTCTTTTTCCTCCTCCTCTTTTTATATCAGTGTCTCGCTGCGGCCTTGGAGCTTCGATGGCGTCGCCAAGAAGAAGAACAACACAAAAAGAGGAAGGCGTCTCCCGTGAGCCTCCGTCGGTGTCATGATTTTCTCCCTATTGCCTCCATGATGCAGGCAGGATACAGGACGCGGCCAGCCCCGGCGAGAGCTGGATACTCATGTGGCCCGCGCGTTTTTTCCAGCGCTCTGCCCTTCATTGGCCGGGCACGGTGACCTTCCACATTTGTATATTACGCGGCGCCCCCAGGTACTCCACATGTCAGCGTGAATCCGTCCATCGGTGCTTCCAGTTTCCTGGTGCAGTTGATGGTAGCCTCGCGAGCGAGAAGCATGTGCATATCACGCAATAGGGCCGATTGAAGTGTTCGCCGCACCTTGGAGCGAGGATCCGCTGTGCTAAAGAGCGACGGCCCCGAGTGTTTAATCCAGGGTCTTGTCCATGTGAGCGCGGACCCTTGTGGACTACAATGTGTAACGTAGCCATAGAGGCTTACGTCATGTCGCTGGCCCTCGCAAAAGAAGATTCGTGACGAGTTCATGGGTAATTCGGCAACTCTGGGGAGGCCGTAGTGGAGGAAGGGAAGGAGGATGAACGGATATGTGTGCTGTAGGGGAGGAGGGGCGGTGGGTGGGAGAAATGGGGACCTGAGGAGGAAAAGAATATCAGGAAAAGGAGGAGGGCACGGGCCCCAAATGGAAAATCGTGGTGTTCCATCGTGGTGTTACCAATGAAACCAGGAACGAGCATCCAAACCGCCACGGTAGGGTACTTCCTGTGACATGTGAGTGCTCGGCTGGGCTAGGGCCAGGGCACTTTGACGGCAGTGTTGTAGCCCTCTTGAAGTTTCGGGCGCGGTATTTTGAACGTGTCTGGCTTTTGATGGTTGAAAGGCCTTTCCGGGTGCCCTTTTGAGGATTATATTGGCGTTGTCGGGGTTCCCTTGCGCACCTTTGCGGCCACCTGGAGTCTTTTAGAACCTCGTCGGGGCTTTATCGTGACTATATTGGATCTTGCCGCCAGATGGGGCCCTGTAGACTCCTCAAGGGCCCGTGCTCGGCATCATCCAGGGCTTCTTGGGCCTGCGCAGCACAGGTAAGAGAACCCAAATTAAAGACAATCACCTGTGTTTCCATGAGTTCGACGAGTTCTTTTGTGGGGACGCTTTTGGCCGTCGTGCGCCCATCTACGGGCCAACTTGGGCTGTCGCACAGGCCTTGGTGACCTCTCCTGGGCCATGTTGGGCGGTCTTGGACTCTGCCTTTTGGAAGCACCCATCCGAACGCTGCGGCTAGAACCCGGCGAAGGTATCGGACTATTTGTTTCCCCAGCCGTTGCTGAATCACTTCAGGGAATACGTGGGGGAGAAAGAAAGAGTGGAGGAGACGGAGGAAACATAATGAGGAGGAGGAGGCCTCTGTGGAGCCTCTTGGGGCACTGTTGCGGCCTCTTGGGAGCTTCCTGGGGGCCTCTTGGAGGCCACTTGGGGGCTTCCTTGGGCCTCTTGGGGGCCTTAGGATGCTCTCTGGCTGTCTGAGGGCGTTCCTGGCCCGTCTGACGCCGTCGGAAGCCATCCTGGGGGCATCTCTGGGTCGACTTCGGGCCCTCTTGGGGCAATACCCTCGGGCCCTCTTGTGAACCGATCGCATTTCAACGGTACGGCAATACATGTCCATGCTTGCCACTTCATGCCATGCTGTACTCCTACCTCGTATCAAGGTGTCATAGTTTGGCCTGTTCGTCGGCAGCGTTACCTTTTCGTGTTTTTGTTGGCCTCGTAGGGTCCTTTATGGCACAGCGTTGTACTCTCGACGCTCCTATACTTGCCCAGCATCGTGATTCCCAGTGTTGGATTGACCCGCCCGAACTGGTGGACTCGCCAATGGTCTGTTTGGAAATTGGCGGGTGCTAGCCCGTAAAAGTGTCATTATTTGCGGTTGTTGCGATTCCATGCTTGGTTGATTACGTGGGAGTCCGATAATGTGTCACGATGCCGTTGTGATTTCCCAGCTTGAAAGCTCAAACGATGCGTGTTGTAAGTGTATCTACTGCGTTCCGCCTCCAGTGTGTTCCCGTCGTTTTCTTGTCATTCCACCTCTCCGTGCTTCAGGAGTGCCATTGCCAGGGGAAGATCCGCTGGGGCAGCAAGACCAGGCGGCTGGCGCGGGGATGGCGACGAGTTGCACCAGTGCCTCGTCGCTGCCGTTGCTGTTGCTGTCCTTGCGGCTGCTGTGCTGTCGTTGTTGCCGGTGTTGGTGCTGCTACTTGTTGCCATTGAGTTCGGCTTGGCGTCCATCCCCCCCTCTCGTCGGGGCGCCGCCGACACCCGACGTCGTGAAACAAACTACGTCGCGACGGAAACCACGAGTAGAGCTCTCGACCCCATCCCCCGACCTCCAGCGGATCGATCTTTCAGTCCCGTCGTGTCTCTCTTGTTTTGGCCCATGGGTGGAGTTTTTCGGGCCCGAGACTGACAAAAACGGGTCTGGGGCAAGAGATGTCCTGTGGGTGGGGGTCGAGATTGATGGTGCCCGCGGATCGAATAGGCAATCCGGTAGTAGTCTGGACCGTTTTGTCGCCCGTGACCTCTCGAGCCAGATCGGTCAGTGAGGGTGCCTGGACCCCGACGTTGAGCCCCGGGTGTGCGAGTTCTTCTTTGCTGTGGGTCGCCCACAAACACCTCGTTTTGCGCAGCGCAAAACGCGAAATGAGGTGAACTATCGAAGACGCCTCAGCGAGTCGACGGACTACCTCTTTTTCGGGTGGCCGGCGGGTCGTGACAGATGCCCCGGAGGACCATTTTCTGCGGCCAGCTCGGGGGGAAGTGAGAGGGGGCGGGCCTGCTCAGGACGCGCGGGAGTCCTCCGGCCTTCTGAGCATAATCGCATAAGCCTTCCCCGATGACACAAACAACGTCTGAGAAGGCGCGAGGGCTTCCGAGACGCTCCGTCGCCTTCTGAGGTGGCCTTCTCCTGCTCGCTTCCCTCCCTCGCTCGCCGCCGACAGTCGGCAGGGGCGGGAAGAGCTGTACATGTCGGCACGCCAAGCACCCCTTGTGGCAGGCACGCGGGCCTGCGGCGGACCTGGCGGCCTGCGGCCCATCCCGTCCGCCACCGTGCCGCCTCCACGGGCCCTTCGTGGTGCCACCCTCGGGGGCAGGAGGCCTCGGGAGGCACTAAGGTGCTTCCGGTGATGCTGGCCGGGCCCCTGGAGAAGGAGCGCGGGGCGCCCCCAGGATCGCCAGGAGTTCCCGTGCCTGAGCCCCTGAGAGATTGTTGCAGTACCCATCGGTCGTTGAAAGTGGGTGTTCTTGGATTCCCAGGTCCCAATCATCTGTGGGCTCCTAATTACTTCAAGGGTCGAGTGTTTTCCCCCTTCCTTGTCCAATCTCGTTCCAGCGCCTTCTGCTTCATAGTTTTACCCACTTCTTACCGACGGGTATCCCGAGTGGAGGGACTTACTGGGCTGATGTGGCTCGGCTTACCATACTCGACACTTAGTGTCGCCTTCCTGACAGAGGGGGAGGAGCGGGTGTTCTTGACGGAGTGAGGCCGGCTTCTTCTACGCGTTTTTATCCAACCCGAGGGATTCGGACGACGATCCGCCGAGTGACTCGCGGAACGGTGGCGGATCGAGAAATTAGTTTTTCCCATTGTGGCTCCTCGTCCGGGCTCCTCGCAGCGTGTGCGGCGGCACGTCCTGGGGTGACTCTCGGGTCGGTTCAGGCTGGCAGCTGCTCCCTGGCTGAGCTCTCCCCCCCTCTCGCCTTCCCTCCTCCCTCCTTCTCTCTTCGTCCCTCCCCTTTCCCCCTCCCACCGCCATCCTGCTCCGCCTCCTCCTGCTCCCCCCCCCCCCTCCCCGTCTCTCTTCCCCCACCTTCCATTGCTCCCGCCCCCTGTCCCAGACGCCCTCGCTCGCGCTATACAGTCGGGGCGCTAAACAAGGAACCCTTTTCGTTGGGGAGGGGCTCCGTGTTCCTTAATGTTTCGCAGCTTGCCTTTGGTTGTCCTTAGGTTTTCGATGGGGAATCGAAGTTTGACTTATGGAAAAATGGGGCCCCGTTCCTTATTTAGGGTTCCTTAGGTCAACGCCTCGACTGTATAACCCGCGGCTGAGCCCAGGTGGCAGGAGATCCCCGCCGACCCGTCCACGGGAGAGGCCCGTCGGGGGGAGGGGCGGCGAGGACGAGGAGGGCAGCATGCAGCAGTAGCAGGAGGAGGCGGAGGACGAGGCGGAGGGAGCAGACGGGCGTGAGGGAGGATGGTCAGGAGGAGAACATGTTCAGGAGGAGGAGGAGGAGGAGGAGGAGGAGGAGGAGGAGGAGGAGGAGGAGGGGGGTGAGAGGGAGGCAGGCGGAGGGGAAGGGGGAGAAGGATGAGCAGGAAACCGCCGCAAAGGTTCGTGCCGAGTCATTCGCCCTTCAGGGGTTTGGCATTGAGGAATGCGTCTCTCGTTGTTTGCGTTTTGTGTGTTGCGAGGCCGCTTTTGCCGAGGAGCCAATTGGAGGAGGACGAGGAGGAGAGGAAGAGGAGGAGGATGAGGAGGGGGAGGAAGTGGTGGAGGAGGGAGAGGGGAACGATTGGAGAGGGTGGGAGGGTCGAAGGGAACGATTGCAGGCATTGCCCTGAACTAGAGAGCGTGTGCGTGTACTGTCCAGGACACCTCGACCGGGATGTCGGAGAGCCCATGCTGGGAACGAGGAGGAAATGGGGAGGAAGAGGAGGAGGAGGACGACGACGACGAAGAGGAAGAGGAGGAGGAGGACGGGTTGTTAAGCTGTAGCGATCCAACTGGATGAGCAGGACGTGGTAGGCATGTTGTCTCACAGCCCCCAGAATCACCGCGAAAAGTTTCATGCACGAGAAGTTCACGACTATTGGGGCAAGCGAAACCGTTTTGCAACATGTTGTTTCAGGTTCCATATGCCTCCCGGGGGAAATTGCTTCTACCATGTTTTCATGGTTGCGGAGCTTATGGTTCGCCTCACGGGTGCCAGCGCGCGTGGTTCACACGGTGGAGCATTTCCTTTTCCGGCAATGGCCGCAGCGGCAGCCGCAGTGGGACCAGCGAGCCATGGCGTATCCGATGTAACGGTACCCGAAGTCCGAGGGGCATGGTACAACCTGAGCACGAATCGATTCGCGGAGTTGTGTAATGGCAGTTATGAGAACGGGCGTGTCGGGTATATGAACACGGTGACCCAGGCACACCACGAACGCATTTTTTTTTTTTTTGCAAGCGCATTGCTACACGTGGCGCAACGACTGTTGGCAACGTAAACAACGGTCATACGGTTGCTGATAAACTACGAAATGGGTACAGTTATCAGCCGCATCATGTACTGCGACGAACAGTCCCCGCACCGGAAAGAACACGTGCGGAAACAATCCCAACACCAGGCGAACACGTCGGCGCATGGTACAAAGATCGCTGAGGCAAAGCAGTCTGCAGGAACCCCCAGGGCTGGCGGATGTGGAAACAAGCCCGTGAGCGACCTCAAATTTGCCGAACCGTGCAAAACGCTCCCAGGTGACCGGATCAAATTCATTGAACGGGGCGAACATCTGTTGAGCGCATCCGCCCAAGTGAAGCACGTTCCTCCACATGCCCGAAATACTTTGAACACCGAAGTTGGATCCGAAAGATCACATGACAGCCGAAAATCACGAGCGGGAGCTTTATAGCGAATGGGCACACCAAGGCGTTGGACATGAAGAACAAGGAATGTGACGAAACATGGGGGGCATTAGTTGGACAAGGGCTAGTATGCAAAGTTGGACGGGGATCTCTGGCAGATTGGAGGGAACAGAACCACTGGGGAATCTGAAGGGTACACTGTCGCATGTGGTGGACCTGGCTGCGCACGCAGAACAATCGAAGAACATGAACGGCGTTGCCCTGCAGCTGGAACAGCGGAGTGCGTGTGTGGAATCTCTGGAAAAGTTTGCGTTGCCGCTGCCAGTCAGGGCTGCAGCCTTGAGGATCATTCTGATCCATGTCGGTGATTGGTTTGATGGTTGGCAACCACATCGTTTCAAAACACCAGCATCGTTGAACATTGACACCCACCAGCAGCACTTCGTTAAGTGCGAGGATTGGTCAAGGAAGAAATGCCTAGACAGTAGTGCGGAGAAACCCGATGCAATGGATATTGCCCAGGTTAGCGTTGTCGCCAGTGGACAATCTGGACATTATTAGAGACGATTCAGTCTGTCACCGCGAGGTAGAACTTCTGTGGTCTTGGAGTCTGGAAGGCAGGCCGGAAGGGGCGACGCGAACGACGGGTAAAGTCAAAAGGGCCCATGTGTTTCAAGGCTTGGAAGATTTTAACGCGTTGCGAGGGATTCTGTCACTGCGTGAATCACGCCTTGAAAAGGAGGCGGAAATGATAAAACAAAGGTGTCAGGGGCCACCAAAAAGCGCGCAGGGGGACGCGAAGGGGGACCTCCAGGCATCGAGGTTCTGCTTTGGAAGATCGGCGCCGGACAGGGATCCCCCAGCAAGTTACCGAGGGGGCCGAGCCCCAGGCTGGACAGGAGGAGGCAAGGGTGGGCGCTTGCTGACCAGTGAGAGGGAACATTTCACGCGCGGCCAAAACATATTACACTGCAGCATGCCAGCGTGGTTGCCCCATATCAAGGGGGGGGGGGGCTGGGGGGCCCGCGCAGATGCCGGGGCGCCCTCTACCAGGGCCGGGGTGCTAAAGCGCGTCTGTCGAGGAGGGCGCTAAATAATCCAAGAGTGCTCGTCGGCAGCGCGGGGGGCGCCATCGAGCCCCACGGGCTTCCAGCGCGGAAGATGCGATGGGGGGAATTGGAAATTTTAGGCTTCCGCCATGAAAGGCTGAACCTGGCATCCGGGCCCCGGCGCGCTTCGAGCGGAAGTTGCAGCCGGCGTGATATTTCGGGCTTTAGCACCTGATCACAGCGCGGGCGTCGACGCGATTGCGGGGGGGGGCGCTGCCAAAAACTGCGCAGCGCGGAGCGCCGAGCGCCGAGCTCTGCGACGGGGCCATCGGTGTTTCTCGATCTCCTGATGGTGGCCTGCCCTCGCCGCCCAGGCGTGGCCCCTGGCCGCGCCGCTTTCTGGTTGTCAATCGGGGGGCCAGGCGCGACCGCCCCTGCTTTTGGGCGTCGGGCGGCCGCGGCTGCGAGGGGGGCGCGCGGCGCTGGGCCGCGGAGTGCGAGTGGGCGACCAGCGAGGCCGCGTTCGACCCAATCCTGGCGGAGCAGGCCGTGCGGGGTTCGCCGCGCCGATGCTCGAGATGGTCATCTTGGCGCCATTGGCGCAGGCCGCCCGCGCGGCCTCGCTCCTCGCCGTCGCGGCGGGCGACGCCCCCATTCGTGGGGCTGGCGGGCTGGGGCGCGCGGCCCCAGTATAATGGGGCGCGGCGTGCCGGTTGAAGACGCGCATGGATGTTTGCGACTTGCGGGCGTCGCCCAAGCAATTGCGAGCGTTGGCCATTCTCCCGCGGTTCGGTAGGCCTGGGGCAGAAGTTGCATGGCGTTCTCGGTGCGGTGGCCACCGCGCAAGCGAGGTTCTCGGGGTCGATTTCGCTGGGGGCAAGCGGATCGCGCGAGCTGCGCGTGCCGAGCTGGCGCAGCGCCCTCGTCGACGCCTTCGCAGGGCGCAGGTCATCGAGACGGGGGAAGGCCGAGAGGTGGCACCGAGGTGCGCGGCCAAGTTAAGGTTGGAGCCCAGCGTCGGTCACGGGGTCGGGGTCGCAGGCCGCGCGCGCGGCGAATTGGGCAGGGAGAGGGGCATTACCTTCGCCGCCGTCTCGTCCAGCACCGCGTGCCGCGCCAGGACTTTGATGCTGGCGCTGCAGCGGTGCCTCTGCCCGATGGCGGGCGCGACGTCGGCCCTGGTCTGGGCGTTCTTGCAGGCGGTCTGTGACGGCCTCGACCGAAGGGCGAGCGGGCTGGGGCATCATCGACGCCGACCGCTGGAGGCGCCATGGCTGCTCGGAGGCCAAGGCCTTCGACGCCTCTCCCTGGGTCGTCAGACAGCGCCGGCAGTGGCTGCAGGTCGCCGCCGCAACTAGCTGCGCCCACGCGGCGACTGGCGGCGCGTTGGAGCCGTCGGCGCGGCTCACCTCGCCAGGCGCGGCCGCGAGCGCGGAGGCGCCCGTGGGCGGCGAGGCGCCGGGCAGATGGGAGGAGGTGGAGTGAGAATCCACCAGTTCGGTGGTGACTCACTGCCAGTGGTCACAGGCGGGGAAGGCGGGCGCGGGCGTGGCCGGCCCCGACAATTGTTTCCCCTGCGCCCAGCGCGGGACCTGCGCAGGCGCCGCGGCTGCCCCGGTTGGCAAGGGGCACTCCAGCTGCCTCTTCGCGCGCCACAGCTGCGGCAGCGTGCCAACCTGCCTGCGGCGGGGCCGCTGCTAGAGGCGCCCCCTGGCCCGTACAGGTGGGCCGCGACAGGCCGCCCAGGAACGAGGCGGCGCGCTGGCGCGGGGTGCGCGACAGGCACCTCCCTTCAGGCAAGACGTCCATGGCGGGTTTAATGTTCGAGGCGGACCGCAACGGCTCGACTTCCTTCGGCTGGAGCGGGGTCGCGTTGTAGCCGCATGCGGGCGCATGTCGTTTCTGGGGCAGTCGTTTGGGTGAGCTGGTGGAGTTCATCGTGATGCCGCGGTCCTGGGTGTTTCCCATGGCCCATGGCGGCCGTGGTAGACGCGAGGTGCGCGCGTGATGGGGCGATGAAGCATGGGAGGGAGGTCGCAGCCAGGTATTGCTAGTCGTGGGGCCTACCTGCGGCGAGTCTCCTGGGACTTGATCGGCGATGTTGGCGGGTTTGGCCATCTGGGCGCGCGAGTCCGACGGGCGCGCGCGCTGCTCTCAGCGGCAGGTGCTGGCGGGGGCCACCCCCCCTACAGGGGCAATTCGGCAACCGGCGCGCTGGCGGCGCGGCCAAGTTTGCCGCCGAGCAGGGCAGGGTTCCGCTACTTGACGAGCCAAGTTCACGGCCGAGCGACAGCTGGCGGACGGGGCGGGGACGCGGCGCAGCGCGGTCGGCAGCCGCGTCAACGGCCGCAACGCCGCGCGCAGGTGGACTCTGCCGCAGCGTGCTGCGGAGACGCCGATGAATGAGGCTGGCGACGAGGCAGCGCAGCTGAGTTGCAACCCCCGCGGCCCGCCTTGGCGGCAATGGTGCGCTGGCTGCCGCTGGGCGCGCCGAGGTGGCGAGGGCCCAGGCAGCGTGGCGCCGACGGCGGTGACCCCCAACGCAGGATTGAAGCATCGTGGCGAGGCGCGCCATCATCTGGCCAGCATCGGACCGCAGGATGAGGGCCAGTTGGCGCGTGGCCTCCTTCTGGTGGCTTGCCTGAGGTTCGACTTCGCCGGCGCGGCGGGAGCTGCGGCTTCGGGAGGGCCCGGCAGCGCGCTCTCGACGTCGGGCCAGGCCATCTCGGCGAAACGGGCGGCGCGCGCGGGGCCCGAGGTCGCGGAGCACATCCCGATCTTCTTCGTGGCCCCCTGCGGCGGGAGGGGTCGCCGCGCTCCCCGGGGGGCGCGCGCACCTGTCAATGACGATTCCTCCTCCTGCGTCGGCGCAGCGCTGCAGGCGAGGGCTAGCCCGCAGCCTTGGCAGACTCAGAAGGCGAGGAGCCGCTGCCGCAGAGGACGCAAGCGGAGAAGGTGACGCACTCCCCGGCGGCCATCCGCCGCGGCGTGGACGCGGCCGCGGCCGAGCGTGAAAGGGGTGGCCCCGAGGAGCTGTGCAAGCCCAATGGTGCCGCTGGGTTCCCCTCGAATGCTGGCGGCGGCGTGCCCGTGGCGTCGCGCTGGGTTCCCTTGGGTCGACGGCGTCGTGGCGCCAGGCCCGAGGACCTGAGTGGATCATTGCGTCTCGCGTGGCGAGTGCCGGCTTCAGGCGGCAGGCGCTAAGCGGGGGGGCATCTCGGCGTCGGCGTCTCCTCGTCGCCACTGGTCGGCTCGCGCGGGGGCGAGCTGGCGCCACCTCCGCTTCGCGCGCATCCCCCCCGTCTCTCCCATCCTCGTCATCATGAGTTTTCTCCTCGTCCCTACATCATCACCATCGTCATCACCATACTCATCGTTATTGTCACCAACATGACCTCCGTCATCACCACCATCATCACCAACATCCTTCACCACGCGTGCGTTTGTGTGTATGTGTGCATGTATGCGTGTGTGCGTGTGTGTTTGTGTGTGAGTGTGTGCAGGTGTGTGCGCGTGTGTGTATGCGTTTGTATGCGATTGTGTGTGCGTGTGCGCGTGTGTGTCCACCGTGGTCGCCACGGCCGCCCACCGCGCTCTGGCCCTGCGCGCCTGACTGATGTTGCCCCCCCAGCTGCTCATCATCGAAGTCTTCGGCGCCGAGCTTTCGTTCTTCTTCTCGGCCGCCCCCCCCCCTCATTGCTCGCCAGCCAATCCGCTGGTTGGTGTATCTATCTAGCTTATCGCTGGAGCGGATTTCGCCGCCTCGCCACTGACGAAAAAAGTGTGCGTGTGTGTGTGTGTGTGTGTGTGGGTGTGCGGGTGTGTGTGTGTGTCTGTTTGTGTGTTCGTGTGTGTGTTCGTTTGTGTGTGTGTGTGTGTGCGGTCGTACGTGCGTGCGTGC